GCACACCGCGCGCCGTGCCACTCGCGTAGACTGCGAACGACTGATGTCACGAGTGCGCCCGCGCTCGCCTTTCGATGTGTTCCTATATCTAATTGTAAGTACGCTGTTTGCCGGCCTCCCTCTATTCTCTCATACAGCAACGTGCACAAAAAGCGGACCACCAAACGTTTAACGTTCTCGTGCGCGTCAAGGGTTTGACGTTTAACGTTCCACGTTTTCGCACGTACCCACCCACCAAGGTGTTCCTGTGACTCCTGGCTGGCCGCTAATCGCGTTACAACGGACCTCTTGCGCGATTGAACTAAGATCGTTAGCGAAATTTCACGAGCGATCAGTTACAAAGGGGTAATGACAAGTTCGGTAAGGAATTGAGTCGAGCTTTACACACGGCTGAATTTTCATGGTTGCGGATAGCGGTAGAACGCGTGATAGCCACGTTTCTGTTGATTTCTTGTTTCTTCGCGTCGCTTTATATCCCGAGAACGATATTTTTCATGTAAAATGGGTAAAAGCGGGAAGAATTTGTTTGCTCTAGCCAAAGGTATAATTGTTCGAGCAAACGATATTTCAATGTTTTCGATGTGTTAACGCTATGACAAACGATATTTCAGCCGCCTAGAAGCCGAAGCGGCGAAGCCGACTTTTTGTCGATTTTCCGGTTTCATCGCACGGATAACGTGATTTAACGCTGAATTTTGAAGAGACAGACGATTCGCTTCCACAAGTCCAGTTACCGCGAGAAAGTGACACGAGTAACGGTAGATTGGAAAAACGATTTAAAGTAATGTCCATAGCATCGTTATTCTCTATTTTCCAATTTATAGAGTCGATCAGTGTGGCTTCTGAATTGCTCGTTTCTTAAATTACGAAGGCACGTTCAAGCACAGAGTCGATTAAAAGGACAATTTTGGAATTGGTCGATCGGATGTACTGAATTCTGAAATTGTTCCGGCGTGAAAAGCGAGGAACGTGACTTATCACGTTCTTTCGCTTTTAATCTTCGCTTACGAGCTACCCAATTGTACTACTCGATATGAAATTATAAAAGTGCAAAGTACAATCTACTACTTGTCAATCGTCGATTCGCTGAAATTGTTACTTAGAAAATTGTTGTGCAAGGGGGCCTCCTGGCTGGTTCTACGTTCCAATGGTTCAAGTATAGTTACGCGTTATATACCTTGCCGATTAGGTGAACGCCTCTTATGCAATTTTGGGAAATCGTGAGATCGAAATATCACGTATATAATACTTTGTTTCTTTTCTTTTTTTAATTAATTTTATTCGTTCGATGGTAATTTACAACGCCTTTCTAAGTTCAATCCATTCTTCTTCCTCGTTTTCTTCCTCTTTCTATGTTCAACTATTTGTAACATTTTGCTTGTTATTCTAATAAATTTTATTTCAATTTTGCGTTATGACACAGTTGATTATCGATTAAGCTTAACTAAGCTATTCTCGGCTCTTTGTGTTTCGTATACGTAACAATATGTTTGTCGCAGTATTTAGCGAAAATTAAATCCATTTTAGGTAATACGGAGATACTTATACTTCTCATTTGAAATTCAAGGCAGGTTTATCTGGCTGCCGATCGATACTTTGTATTACGATTAATTTGAATCTGTATTTTTAAATCGAATGTTTTGAGTAAGTGCATCTTCTTCTTCGTCTGGATATCTATAAATATACTGCTTGTTTTTTCAGTAAGTGTTACCCTACCTAATGGTAGGCTCGCGTTTAAATATACATTCTTTTCAGGTTTAATCTTCTGCAAGATTTTGTCACTTCGGTAAGTGTTGCTACAGGAAGCTCAAACGTTCGTCGTGAACGTACGAAGACGACAGGAGAAAAATATGGCACTATAGATATATCTCTATTGATTTCTCGATTTTAATGTCACTTTACGATTAAAAAGAAGAATGTTCGACGTACGAAGAATTAACGACATAATTGGAAAAGGAAAATAATCTACCAGAAATATTATGATCGTTTCTCGCAACTAAGACTATAACTAGATTTAACGAATTTTGGCAGATTTCAATGAATGATACGCGATCGCGAGAACTTGCGAATTGAAACAAATTATTCGTTTCAATGATAAACCTGACGATTTACTTGGCTCGGTTTGGCGCGTTCGGTTCTAGAAAACATTCGGTGTTACACAATTACGTAACTACCTAAACGATTAGATGGTCTAAATTAATAATCGCCACTTGTGAAAAGACTGTATGTCTGCGTCTCTTTTGTGTTCACGAGTACACGCGTAACTACGTGAACGCGTGCATTTTGACTTACGTGGATGTTGCTGTGAAAGCACACGCGTTACAGAATACGCAACGAGCGGAAAATTAAATGTCAGACGAAGAATTCGTATCTCTCGTGTATTTTAGTAAAATTACTTAATTTACGTAGTAGGTACCGACAACGAGACATTATGTTTCTGGTGAATAAGTCAGACTTCCTAACGGTCCATTGAATATACTATACTCGTTGGTCACGAGACCTTTCATTCATAAGAAATGGAATTATATTGTTGCACGCATACGACATACGATGTGTATACGATATCTTACATTTTATTTTAGCGTTAAAATATTAATATCCTTAAATTGCGTGGAAATAAAAAATTTGAAAACAATTTCTGTAAATTTTCCTATAGCTCTTTTCAAGAATATTTTGCTGCAGGATATAATTCTACGTAACAATAAATACGTATATGTATATATTCTTTGTCCAGCGTAATTTATTACTTCGTTAAAAATAATATTGTTTTTGCTTGTCTTCTAATAAAGTATGATTTTTTAAATATTTCGGGAATTTTAGTCCTTGCGTTAAACGAATCGCGTAGAACGATTTCTCAGTTTAATAAAATTTCCAAGATATTTTGCTCCGATAATAATTAGAGTATTTTACGCTCAGCTTTAGTATAAATATCTAAGTATTTCATAGTAATTTTCCTCTTTTCTATTAAGAGCCTACGTATTACCAGTGGTCTCTATTTACATTTCATATTAAACGTTCATTGCTATATTAGATTGAGGCCAGATTTATCAAATATCTAATTTCTTATCAACTATGATTTATCCATAAAAATTTAATAGAAATTTCTAATCATCGCGTTACTCCAAGACAATTTTCTTTCTTTTATCTTATCTTTCCCTCTTCTGCTTCTACACCTTATAAGAGAGCAGATAACTTCCAATTTTTCTGACAAAACTTATCTCTCTACTGTTTACGCATCTTTCCATATTCTTCGAGGTTTACGTAAGCTAGAAACAAAGATTATAGATGCATATATTTTACAGTACGCGTCATACGTAATTAACAAAATATTATAACAAAGTGGCACGAAATAGCTGTAAGTTATATACGATTTTATAATGACTGTATTTTTATGCATGACGACTAGCATTTCATATTATGCACAACGATAGAATTACACTCATTAGTGACAATTTTAGATATTCTTGTAAAGATTAAATATTATTACAATAATAATGCGTAATTCAGATAACAAACGTTTATATCAGATAGCGAATACGAGTGCATGAAAGATTTAATTTCTTAAATATCATGAAAAACTTAATACAAATTTATAATATATCTTTATGGACGCGTCTAAAGAAACAGAATTCGAATAGAAATTTATTTTCTTACTAAAAATTGTACCCGATATTCTTTTGAATATTTTGTACAGGGCTGTTGGTAACTGGTGATACAAGCGGAAAGGGGGTGATTCTACGCGAAAGAAGAAGTCGAAAATATAGAATAAAAATTTTTTTTTAATTTTTTCTATCGAGACAACGATCTACAGTGAGATCCGTTATAACGAGACGCGATGAAGTGCACGCGTACCGAGCGAAAATTCAAAGTCGATTTTCTCGAAAACAAAGCCTCGAACGAAAAATTGTTATTCCATATTTTCGACTTCTTTTTTCGCGTAGAATCACTCCCTTTCCGCTTGTACCACCAGTTACCAACCACCCTGTA